TGGGTAGCGTGGATGAAGCACGAAGACGTGCTGCCCTGGAATCTTTTAGAGCTTTGAAGGGGGTCGTTTGCAACAACCTTGCTCTTATATTAGGAAGAGATTTTAATCGATTTTGGGCCACACACTCTGAAAAGTGGAGAGGTTTGTTTCTTTACCACAAGCTACTTTATGATGCTTACCGATTGAGCGGCAATTGCATGTATGAATGTGTGGCTTGATGGATCTCCCATTCAGATGCTTAGATACAGGTTTAGATGGGCCATGGAAACGGGTTCGGAAAGTTTACCAGAGATGAGAAACTTGACGAGCACCATGGCAGACAAAGATTTGGCCGACCATTTTTAGGGATGCATAAAGTTAATACACTTATTCATCGACCCAAATCTGTCCGACCCCAATCATTGTTCATAACATCAGGCATCTACTTATTCGGCAAACCTTCTAAGCCTTTAAATTCTTGGATAACGTTGGCTCTGTGTTTCGGTATTCGAGAAGTGGTCGCCTCGGATATATATATATATATATATGATTTGAACTGATTATAAACTAAATTTATATATTAAAAACAAATCTTGCAATAACTGCATATATAACTTTATAATAGATCTTAGTTCGAATAAAGTTTTGTTTAAGTTCATATGAAGTTTGGCCAAAAAAATTTGGATTTTTTTGAATTTTATTATGTTTAAGTTCATCATTAAAGGGTGCATTAAAGAAATTAATAATTCTCTTTTTTTTTAGAGTTCTTGTTTTACTGTACTATTTCTTCTTCTTCTTCAAGAAATGTGGGCGCTTGGGGTCCTTGTCTTGGAATGAAGAGTGTCACATGAACTAACACTTAGAAAGTGGAAAGTTGACCCTCATCTTCACAAATCACAATTCACTAGTTCACAACTAGCAAGCAGCTGCAAAGAAATTTCCTAAATGGTTGCTCTTATGTCAAAGAAGAAACTTTGACTGCAAAAAGTAGGACATTATCCTGTACAAAAAGCTATAATTACTCTGCAATAAATATTAATTATTTTTTATCGAGAGCTCTCTCGATAATGGTAATTTCAGATTTCAAACTCTTAATAAGAGCTCTCTCGATAAGGCACCTGGGCCTGACGGACTTAATCCTTCATTTTATCAAAAATTCTGGGACATTATTGGCACTGATATTGTGAAAGCTTGCAATGATTGGCTACAAGCAGGTATTTTTCCTAATTCATTGCCAGATACTCTTATTGTGTTAATTCCTAAAATTGTTGACCCTAAAGAGGCTAAAGACTTTAGACCCATAGCATTGTGTAATGTTCTTTACAAAATAGTGTCTAAAGTTTTAGCTAATTAATGTTCTTTACAAAATAGTGTCTAAAGTTTTAGCTAATCGTTTGAAAATTGAGTTGCCAAAAGTCATTTCTGAACATCAATCTGCATTCATACCGGGTAGAGCTATTACTGATAATATTTCAATGTCCTTTGAAATGATGCACAACCTTAAAAGACAGAAGTGTCGTGGGATGGGATCTTGTGCTATGAAAATAGACATTAGTAAGGCTTATGACCGGGTTGATTGGAATTTCTTGTGGGTTGTTATGCTTAAATTGGGTTTCTCAGAAAAATGGATAGAGTGGATGAAAATGTGTGTTTGTGGAATAAATTATTCTGTTATTGTTAATGGAGAGATTGTGGGCCCAATTTTGGCTAGTAGAGGGTTACAACAGGGCGACCCGATTTCACCCTATCTCTTTCTGTTATGTGCGGAAGGACTCACTACTTTATTTGATGAAGCTGAGAGAAAAGGCTGGATTCATGGGGGTAAGGTAGGTAGAAGTTGCCCTCGCATTTCTCATTTGCTTTTTGCAGATGATTCACTCTTCTTTTTTAAAGCTACTACGAGTGAAGCAACAAAAGTAAAAGAAATTCTGCAAAAGTATGAGAAAGCATCAGGACAAGCTATCAATTTCCAAAAATCTGGTTTGGTTTTTAGCCCTAATACAGATGTGACTACTAATACAGATGTGACTATGAGAAGGCAGATTGAACAGTTACTGGGGGTCACAACATCAGGGGAGGATAGTATATACCTTGGTTTACCTTCAGTTATTGGACGTAACAAGAGACATATTTTTGGCTTTCTAAAGGACAGAATGTGGAAAAAGATGAACAGTTGGTCAAATCATTTTCTTTCCAAAGCTGGTAAAGAAGTGCTTATCAAATCAGTGCTTCAAGCTATTCCATCCTACTGTATGAGTTTTTTAGAATTGCCCTTGACATTTTGTAATGAAATCCATAAGATGATGAATCGATTTTGGTGGCGAGGAAAGCAGGATGTAGGAAAAGGAATTCACTGGTTTAGTTGGGAAAGAATGTGTGGCAGTAAAGATAAAGGAGGTATGGGTTTCAAAAATATTAGATGTTTTAACATTGCTATGCTTGCCAAGCAAGGGTGGCGTTTGCTAAACTATGAGAACACCCTTTTCTATAAAGTTTTCAAGGCAAAATATTTTAGAAGAAAGGATTTTTTGGAAGCACCTTTGAGTAAGAATCCTAGCTTTGTGTGGAAAGGTATATGGTCAGCTAGCAAGGTGTTGAAACATGGTGTACGGTGGAGAGTTGGCAATGGGGAAAAAATTAGGGTGGTTCATGATCCATGGTTACCAAAAGAGGCTCCATTTAGGGTAGTGGGTTGGCAAGGATTTATAGATGAGGGTTTGAGAGTTAAAGATTTATTTATGAGTGGGGAGAGAAAATGGGATGCTGGAAAAATCATCAGTTTATTTAGTGTGGAAGAGAGTCATCAAATCCTTAATATACCCCTTAGCATTAGAGATAGAGAGGATGTGCGAGTGTGGCATTTTGATAGAAAAGGGGTATATACTGTCAAGTCAGGTTACAAAGTGACTTGCGAGATTGGGTTGGTGAGTTTGGGTCATGGTGGAAGACAGTGTGGGATATTGAAACGCAACCTAAGATTAAAGACTTAATTTGGAGAGTTCTTAGAGGGGTCTTACCAACAAGAGAGAGACTTAAGAATAGGGGGGTTACTGTTAATGAAGGATGTCCTTTATGTGGTGAGGTAGAGTGGTGAGGTAGATGAACGGGTTGTCCTTTATGGGTGACCGGTTAGAAAAGTGATTGATCATGCTTGTGGATCACTTGCCTAACTTTGTCTAAAGGTCTGATTTAGGAGGCTTTTCTTGTGCCCCAACCACTTAATATCTTGCTTTTAAAGATTTTTTTTCTGCAGGGTAATACAAATATGAAACTCCTAAAATTTTCTTAAATTTAGCTAAATTTCTATGGGGTATTATGGCACATTGAGAAACAAACGGCTTCTTGGGAAAATGTTCACTTAACTCCCATTCAAGTTCTACACGCCGAAAGCCATTGCAGCTCTATGCAGGTAATTCACTACAGCTCAGAGGCATTACTCAAGTGGGTTTCCTTACACCAGCCCAATCCTTGTGGCCAATTCTGAAGTCAAAGGCTTTCAAATAGTCACAGTAATGTTCACCTTCCCTTTGCATCAACTTTGTTCTACACCAACACTAGCACAAGTCCCCCCACTCTCAAAGTCCAAGTCTAGTCATCAATTTGCACAATCCTACTCACGCAAGAAGGCTATGGACATACGAGGCATTTTGTGCATCAAAAATGTCTGGATATGGTACTTACATTTGAAGATGTGAAGGTATTTTTTTTGAAAGCTAATTTCAGGAGTTACTATGAGATTCTATTTCAGGTTACTATGAAGGTACACCGGACTCGGCCATAGTTGAGGCGATTGCTCTTCGTCAAGGCCTACTTTTTGCTGTGCACTTCTTCCACAATCCAGGATGTTTTTATGTGAACTCGCAACTTGTTATTTTTGCTCTCAACTCTAGTGCTCCAGATTTCTCTTTTTTTGGTCTTGTAATTTCGGATTGTCTCTATTTACTAGGACTTCGCCCTGATTTTGAGGTTCGTTGGGTTCGTAGGCAAACTAATATAGGAGCTCATACTCTAGCTAGAGCTGCCTATCATCATGCTCGCCATGTTATTTGGGATAGTACTCCCCATTTTGTGTTGGCTTTTTTCTCTTAAATAATGAAATTTTAATCTTTTCAAAAAAAAAAAAAAAAAAAAAAAAAAAAAAAAAAAAAAGAGGCTAAAACACATTAACCCATTGCCCGCATCCAATATACCGGGTTTCTCTCTAAACAAAGCGTAGTCTAGGGAAATGACATCTAAGTTCTATTCATATGTGAAAAACAGAGGCATTGACCATAAGGTATAATTCGGTTTGACAGAGAAAATCCAATAAAGACTTGAAAATGGGTTCAGTTAATTCGGATCTGAAAAAATCCAGTAGACAGCGGATAAGAGTATTGAAGAGCATTTAAAGCTCCAGTATAGGCTGTTATATAGGGTTAACAACAAGGTTTCCATGCCCTTTTGTAATAGTAAGAGTATTAAAGTGTTTTTCTTATGATTTAACGTAAAAAATGGAAGAAATCGGATAAAATGAATACATAGGTTGACGGATACAAATGTCAAAGAAAAATTTGGAAAAGTTCTTACATTAAATTTCCAATTAATCCTTTAAATATTTAATATTAACACTTTTCCAACCTATTATATTTTTATTACCTAACCAAAATTCGTTTAATATAAAACTGAACTTGCAAAAATATTTAAAAAATTAAAAATAAACTTCAAGTTATTAAATATAAAAACTTATTAATAAAGTAAGAAAATCTTAAAAGAAAATTTAAATCATCTTAGTAATAGTTATGGGATGTTTGGCTACCGCAATTCAACGTTTCAGTGAAAATTACTTTCTAAAAGAATGTAGGAAAATTGTTATAGAAATGTTGAATTATCTTGTTTTTGGATAATAAAACAATTTTCAGAAAATTTAGGTATTTATTTTTAATTAAATTATAATTGTGTTAACAGATTTTGGATAACATCACAGGAATATTGTCTAATAGATGAAAATACAAAACTAAAATGGTAAAACTGCGATAACCAGTAACAACCGTCCCGTCGTAGACCGCCCGCAGCAGTTTCAAAAACTAGGCCACCCCACTTGCTTTAGAGTGTAGAGTCCATACCACACAACATTCTCTCTCTCTCTCCGTATGGCAAAACATACCAATTTATCCTCAACTGGACCAAGGATCTAAGGACTACATTTCCTCACTGTCAATTACATAGCAAGAAATCGAGAGCCCAAACTTTTTCAGGTAATCAAGCCATTTGATTTTGTACATTCTCTTAACTGTTTCTTTTCTTCTGTAATTTTTTTCAATGGAATGTCTTCTTGGCCTTTCTCTGAAATTACGGTTACCTTATATCTTTCCTGTTTCGTCTTTTCCATGTGGGTAAGGCTTTGTTTGTATTTGCATTGTGTGAACCTGACTCATGGGAAGCTTCCTTCCCAATTTGCCAATTTCTGGGATCTAATTTAACTAAAATCTGAAATACACTCTGCATCTTTTGTTTTGCTGGTACAAATGCCTTGGTGGAATTTGGAATCTCTTTCCTGCTTTAAGAATTTAAGGGGCATCTTTCAGGTTAGTGGGCTTTTCTTCTTTTTGTTTTTCCCTTCATTTTTCACATTGAAGAAGCTTCTTTCTTTCTTTATTTCCCTTTTGTTCTTTAGTCTTATAGCTGTTGAGTTGGACATGGGTTTTTGTAATCTGTAATTCTGTACCATGGTTTGTTCTTTTTTATGCAGTTGGAATTTTCCATGTTGTGTCAATAAATGTGCTCCTTTTTTCACTACTAAAAGAAATAATAGGATAGATTAAGTAACTCAGTTCAATTTGTGATGATATGTTGCCCAATTTGTACTTGCAATATTCTAAATGCTCAGTGGGTTGTACTTGGACTTATGTAATGAGAGTTAAAATCACCTTTCCTTGAGATTTGAAGGGGAAATATAGTGCTCAAGGACCAAGATACAATCTCTACTGCCTTCTATCGAATTTGTGCAGTAAAGCATGAGAAGTACTACCTATTTGCTATTCAATGCTATTGACAATAGCTTATTATGTTACCTGATTGGTGACCAATAACTTGCTTTCTCAGAATCTTTTCTCCAAAAATGGGTCTAAAAGTTATTGAGGGCATAAGGTTGGTAGGATAACCTATAATTTCATTTTTAAAATTATACCAGTCGCTTTCCAAACTGCAAAGTGATTTCTTGTGGATTTGTCCTTTCTTCTGTGCAATATATTGTTGTATGCTATTCGCAATACGCAAAGATTTTGCGAATTCTGCGAAATATGACTGCGTGCTAATCCTAATATACAGTCATCATCCTGTACCGTGTAATGATGTATGTGTTTGAATATATTTCACATATTTATAAGTAATACCTGCAGGCTGCAGACTTTTCCTCAATCTTTTGTTTCACATCCAACTAGTTTGGGTTTGGGTGTTTCTCACATTCAGTATAATGTAGAATTCTACATATCTTGGAGTTTGGATCATGCTCTAGTCATGATCCTTAATGGCATTTGAAATTTGTCCCGAAGGATAGGGACCTATCTGGTTACTGTTGCTTAAGTAGGTTCTTGGACATGAAAGTCAAAAATTGACATTTTGAATTGCACTCTCTTTTTTTATTATCTTTTTGAAGTGGCAATTCTTAGATTTAGAATCTACAGTTACTTGATGGAATTCTATTTTTTGCATGACAGTATAATGGCCCCAAATTTGTTCAAATGATGATTTGTATTCTGTCCTTTTTGATAATTTGGATTTCTTTAGGTAAACCTTAAATCACCGACAAAGCTCTAATTATACCATTAACTACCTGGTGTTGGCCATTTTAGCCCTTTCCTTTAGCACATGGAATACTGACAAAATAAGATTTATGATGTTCTATTAAATTATCATTTCTGCGGTCTTTTTACTTTAGAAAGTACCAGTCATTTATAGACACGTTTATTTACTTAACTTTGAATTCTCCATGTCATTTACCACTCAAAATAAGCTGTTGTTTGAGAAATAGCTGAGGAAGTAAAACATACAGCTTGTGTGAACAGCACATTGCACTCTCTGGCAAGTGAAAGTGTAGCTGGTGAAGGCATTTGAGAAAACATATTTCTTGGACATTTAATTTGTAAGCTATCAGCCTATAGGATGGCAATTCAGGGCAGTGGATGCTGGGAAAGTTAAATAGTTGACCCATCTGACATTTTGCTTTTAGCCAGTGGTCTAGTTTGTTGTGAACTAATTTTTTTTTGGGAAGTTGTTGGAAACTACTCTATATAGTGAGTTGGATAGTCTTCAGCAAGATGCTTATCGAATTACGAGAAAACTTAGTATTGCATACTGTAATGATGTCAAATAAATTCTCAAAATGTAATATCTGAGTCAACTTCCTTTATGAACTTTCTTTTATTCATATCAAGGGGTTGATTGAGGAAGACGAATATCTCTGCTCGATCATGTAATATTCGGCCCTAGGTTCTATTGCATCTAATTAAGGAGATCTATTGATTCATATTTGAAATATTTTCTTTAGCCTCTAGATTTCTGTCATGAGTCTGATAGCACAATGCAGTTTGGAAAATAACAAACAAACATAAAAAAATCTCATTGTCGGTTCTCAGATTTTCCATCGTTTGATCTTCCAAGGTCAAAAAAACAGAACTTTTAAAATACACTGGTAATTGCGGTGGAATTATTTAAAAATATGTATAGTAGTATGCTTGGATAGTGCTGCACACTTCACGAGGGATCATGATGGAGTCTCTAAATAGTGTTTTGTGGCAGCTAACTAGCAAGTACTGCTGCTTTTTGAGGAACTTATTTTTGCAGATTCATGAGCCACTCTCATGTATGGTTCGTATCACACTGGCATTTCAGGTTTGCGCATTGGCATTTGTAGTGTAGCATTATATAAGAATGATGTGCAGCATATTAAATGAACATGATTAATATTGTCATCGAGAATTAATTGTGTTTTGGTAGAATATGTATTTAATGCATTGCTCATCTTTCCTTGGTATCCTTTGAAATCTTGGTTTAACCTCAAAAGCTTTTAGTAGTGGATCAAAATATAACCAGGTTTTGAACATAAAACTTTTGGGCACTATCTATACTATCAGTTTTCCCTGAAAAATGATTTGTTGGATTATATAGGATGCTTCAACTAAGAGGCTGGATGTTACTGCAAATACTTGCCAATCATTTTCAACTCTTAACCTTGCACTGATAGAACACAAGAATGAAGAGGTATAGTTTTACCCTTCTGATTTTTGTTGAGTGTGGGTGATTTAATCTTATAATTTGATAGGATTTTGCATATATATTGGCAGGGCTAGTAACGTTGTTCTGTTTGTTCTCGTTCTGAAAAGAGTATTGAACATTAGGTTTCTTGGTTTGTTGTTTGTATAATCATTGGAATTTGAAGGTAAATAAGCTAATTATCATCATTGTACTGAATCAAATATGTAAGTGTCATCGTAAATTTGACTTACAGCATCTGTACTTCGCATACACCTTTCTTCTTCTCTTTTATGGTTATTGAAAGAACTAAATTCAAGACTTGAGTCGTATATTCATTGATGGCCATTTCTTTTACTCAATGATTGGATCAATTGAACCTAATCCTACAGAAGCCCAAGCTAAATGTGTTAATTATTGAAAAGAAAAAACTGACTAAATCTACTTTGAACCTATATCTCTCCCTGTATCACTGCACTTGTATCGGAATATTTGTATTTATCCCTATACCAATTTACTTCTACCTAATCCAGTTGCACCTTTATTTGCTTGTGATTGGTCATATCATTTGCACCAGCTCAGCTCAGCCCTTATCTGCATCTCTTGCTTTGCTCCAATAGCATTTCACATATGCTCCATTTGCACTTTAGATGTGCACTAGCATACTCAACCTAAGGCTTTTCAAGGTTCGCTGCAATTAATGTTTGATACAATGTTAAAGTTGGTTTATGTAAATGAAAAATGGCAATATTTTAAAAATTCATTAAAGTTTTGGAGTTATTGGCCATTACCTCTTTCTTTTTGTTTTTCTTCGTGGGAGTGGGTTGGGGGACTGTGGGGAGTGAGCAGGCATTTGTTTACTATGGTCGTGGAGAGATCATATGAAGCTTGGAGGGAGATGATAATGTGTACAGTGGTGTAGGGAGTCCTCTGTTATTTTCTTCTGACATTTAGTTGCCTGCAATTTTCATTCAGAGTTGACTCGTATAAAGGTTTTCAGTTTCACTTGGACATTTTCGTGGTTTAAAATAAATTGTTCTACCACAAGGTTTTAATTACAATATCTTTCTATGCTCACCTTCCTATACACATAATTTGACAGTCTTATTCTCTATTATTTATGAGAATAATGATATAACAGAATTAAGTATATCTGGTTTCACACTTTTACTCAATAAGTTAAAGAAGTAATGTTAATATGCAGTTTTTGAGAAGAAATTGCCCAAGCTTGTGATCACATTTCACCATGCTCAAATCAACTCAATTAGACTTTAATCGCGACCTTCTATGTCTTTCTTCCATTGTCAAACTTGCCAAGCATATCCTCTGTAGTTCTATTAATTTGAAACCCTTAAACTCTAGGGTACTCCTTCAAGGCACCAATTAAAACTATGTTATCTGCAAACAGTGTTTCACCAAGGAAATCATAATTGAATGTGCTGCATAAACAGTGTTTCACCAAATTTATTTTTACTATTGCAACTTCTTAATATACATTCCCTGCAGAGCTGAGTTGCATTTCTAGTGTGCTTTAATTAGAAGCTTAATTTATTGTCTGATTACTCTAAATTGTGTATACATGTATCAAGCAGTACAAGATGAGGGAGGTCCAGCTCGGTTCACATACTGTGAAGTCCCATGGAGTTGCAGTTGCAAGGACACATATGCATGATTGGCTTATATTGGTGCTTCTTGTGGTGATAGAAGTCATTTTATATGTTGTTCATCCGTTTTATCGGTTTATTGGGAAGGATATGATGACAGATCTTAGATACCCCTTGAAAAGTAATACAGTGCCTGTTTGGGCTGTTCCAGTAAGTTTCTGATCAACAATCATTTGATAAAAACCTTTAATAAGCCATCTGGGCAACAGTGTTGATGGGTTTTTTCTTTTTGGTATAATTAGATGTATGCCATTCTTTTGCCTATGGTGATTTTCCTAGTTGTCTATTTTCGTAGGAGAGACATCTACGATCTCCATCATGCCATACTAGGTGAAATAATCATCTGTTTCTTTCTTTCTATTTTTTTTTTTCTGTGAAAATTTCCATTATGCTTAACTGATGCACGAAACACTTTTACTATTGCAGGTCTCTTATATTCTGTTCTAGTGACAGCTGTCATTACTGATTCAATAAAAAATGCAGTTGGGCGGCCTAGACCTGATTTCTTTTGGCGTTGCTTTCCTGATGGAAAGGATGTATGCTTCTATTCTGTGGACCTGCCTTCTACTGTTTGGTACCTTCAGATTTTAGAAGTTAATATCTGATTGTTTCTCAGGTTTATGACCAATTGGGAAATGTAATATGTCATGGCGATAAAAATGTCATCAAGGAAGGGCACAAGAGTTTTCCAAGTGGGCATACTTCATGTAAGTTTATTTCGGCTTCTTTATCGTTACAACAAAGAATTAAGAAAAAATATGGACAATAAGTGGAACTTTATTTTACATGGGCAGGTTGGTATTATTTTAAACTGAACAATAAATAAAGTCTTTATGTGGATATTGAAGCATTTACATTTTTTGCTAGGAGAGGCCAGGGTATTACAAATTAGTTGAACACATAATACCCTTAGTTATACTTGCTCACACTTTTTTCTCTTTCGTTAACTTCATCCATAATCATTTCCATTGTCAGGGTCCTTTGCTGGCCTGAGTTTTCTGTCGCTCTACTTATCTGGAAAAATAAAAGTATTTGACCGCAGAGGTCATGTTGCAAAGCTATGCATCATCTTTTTTCCATTGCTAGTTGCTTGTCTTGTTGGCATTTCTCGAGTGGATGACTACTGGCATCATTGGCAGGATGTCTTTGCTGGAGGTCTCTTAGGTTTGTGCATCTATGCTTTTTTATTTTAGTTATTAAGTTGAAAGTGCTTTCACTGTCCAATCAATGATTAACTTAACTGTATTATCCTTTGCAGGGCTCGTAATTGCTACATTTTGTTATTTGCAGTTCTTCCCTCCACCATATCATCCTCAAGGTATGCTCCTCAACAAATTTCATGAAACTCCCTTCATTAGCGTCCAGTGGATTCTATGATGGTATCGTTCAGTGCATCCATTGAAATTTTTGTAAAATAGATTGAAACAAAATCCATTTATCTTGTTCTGTGCAATTATTCAACAATACAGTTTCTGAGTTCTCTAAACTGCATTAAGATGTATGCTCTGTCCATTTTGTCCCCTGCTGAATTTGACATAGTTCATTTGTAATTTTGCTTACTCTGTTTTAAATGGATGAGATGTGAACAAACATTGACTTTCAGCGTCAACGTCTCTCTAGACATTTGTTTCAAAAATCTGCATGTCTGTTCTACATGGTGTATTGGGAGCAAGTCTTCACTCAAACAAGTAGAAGCTTATAAATGACAGGATTCTTTTTTTTTTTTTTTAGTTTATCGAATTTCATAAAATTTGATCTTTGGGAACTGAACATTTCATTCATACTAAGAAACATAAACTTTCAAATGAGTTCCACAAAACCAAGGCTTGAAAGTTGTGTTTATGTTCAACTTGACCTAATTGATGGACAGTTTAGATCATGTTCATCTGAGCTTTCTGTTCATGTCTGTTTGTAGGTTGGGGGCCTTATGCTTACTTTAAGGTATTGGAGGAGTCGCGTGGAAGTGCACAAGCATCTACTACTATAAATTCGCTAAATTCAGATGCAAGAGAGAATGAAGAAGAAGAAAGGAATGGGTTTATGGGGCTATATTTGGCTCACAACTCTAGTTTGCCAATGGAAAACCAAGACATTGAAGAGGGAAGGAAGTAATTTCCAGTAGCTATATAAAGGCTCAAGTTCACCAGAGTAGAAGGAAATATTGCTTCTCCTTGTTTATCACCCTGCAACTTAGTAGCTCTTTTGTTTATCAGGTTTCCAAGAGATTAATTTTAACTTTTTTAAGTAAAATGTATATATTTATCCAGACTATATTATTAATAAAAGGCATAATTTATCAAAACACATTACAATTTTCATGGTTACGACTTTTTAAAAATAATTACAAGTATCCTCCTTAATTTTAGGTGATTAATGACTAATAATACGTAATTATTTGCGCTGACAAGAAAATCACCAACGACCCATGTAATCATTGACATTGCTTATTTTATTATTTTATTCAATTTTTCCTTTGAAAAAACAGTAAACATAAACAAGAAATTAATAAGTCGGTAAAAGAAAAGTAAAACGGAGATCCGAAAAGATCTTTCTAATTAATGGATTGTTTATGGTAAAGTCACCTTTTTTTTATTATTATATTATTTTTGGTTTATGGTAACTGAACTTTTTGATTATTTTATTATTTTTGAATGAAAAGAATCATAATTAATTAATTACGATCTTGTTTCCACAATAGTGATGTACCATCTTTTCTGTTCCAATATAAAGATATAATACATCTCTAATTTTCTTTTGTATTTTACGGATTCTTGATGAATTGAAAGACCTTTCTTTCTTTCTTTAATCTTTAGCCTTGAGAGTTGAGAAGCCATTAAAGCTGTAACTTGCAAGGTATTTCTTTTTTACTTCTTCTGTTATTTTTTTATTTTTTATTTTTTTGAGAATGCTTCTTCTGTTAATTAGTTATTGTCAGATTAATTTTTCTGTAATACTGTTTAAGCTTTATACGATGACTCACTGCTTATATTATTTATGTATTTACAGTGTCGAAATTCTACCTTTCTTCTCTTTTTATTTCTTTTTTCTTTTTTGTATGATTATATATTTTAATATTTTTTTTCGCTGTCCTAATTTTGTCATAGCTTTATTATCTTTTGTTTTTCTTCTTTTTTTCTCATCTTAAATATATATATAGCTTTATACGATGGACTCACTGCTATATTAGTTTATGTATTTACAGTGTCGAAAGTTCTTTACCGTTTCTTCTCTTTTTATTTCTTTGTTTCTTTTGTGGCTATTGATTATATATTTTAATATGTTTTTTCGCTGTTCCTAATTTGTCATAAGCTTTAATTATCTTGTTTCTTTTTTTCTCATCTTAAATAGTAATATATAATATATATATATATATATATATATATATATATGTATGTATTCACTCGTCTTTTTCTTATTTTGTTCATCGTGGAGGAGGTAATTTTATTTTGTGACGAATTTTAGTATTTTCCATCTTCATGAAATAGTTTTCCAATTATATCAAAAATCAAGCCCACCACAAATTGTTTTTTTTGTCTGGGGTCATGTTTGGAATGTATGTATTCACTCTCTTTTTCTTATTTTGTTCATCGTGGAGGGGTAATTTTATTTTGTGACAGATTTATATTTTCCATCTTCATGAAATATTTTCATATATCAAATCAAAGCCCACCACAATTGTTTTTTTTTTCTGGGTCATGTTTGGATTTCTTTGAAATTGGGGGAAAAGAAAAACAATTCTTCATACTTTAATATATATATATATATGTTAATTCACTACGTAAAAAATAGATTTATGTTGTAATAACATCAAATGAAAAATGTGCATTATTACATTTATAAATCCTTTGGCTATCATGTTCCTGATAGTAAAATATATATCTCCATTTTCTTATCAGACAAAATACATGGATACTGAACTTAGGAAGGACATGATCAAGAAGGAGAGAGCTTTAAAGATTTCATTTCGAAAGAGAAAGAAAAGCTTGTTCAAAAAAGGCTATGAATTAGCAACTCTATGTGGTATTGACTTGTGCATTATCATCTTCGATCCAAAACAAGGTGACAACAAACAAGTGAAACCAGAAACCTGGCCTGCTGATCCTCTTAAGGTTAAGCACATAATCAAGAAATACAAACAGAAAGTGCAGGAAAAAAGACACTGTCAGATCTCTGACCATTCCAAGAACAAGCTGAAGAAGGTTAATGCTCAACTTACAGATTTGCGGAAACAAATATCTGTGACTAAGTATCCTCCATGGAATGATCGCATCAATAATTACTCTGAGGATGAATTGAAACAACTCATCTGTGAATTGGATGCTAAACTGAAATCTGCAGATGACAGAATCAAAATGATGAAAGAAACAGACACGAATCATATGGAAAGGTCATTTTTTCTTGAGGCTCAAGACCACAGAAGCCATGGATATTCAAGTGGGCAACAACAATCTAACATTCTTGATGTAATGCCAATTGATATTCAAGTACCAAGCTATTTCCAAGATGGTTCTCTAGGTTATCCTCATATGCTTCCATTGAATCCACATTTTTATGGGAATTGGCAACCGAAAATGTGGAATGACATCAGAAATAGCAGTGAATCTGTTGCTGCTGCACAAAATAATGATACTCAGTTTCCTCAAGTGAGTATACCTATGTGTTATGGTCAAGCATCTTGGAAATGGGAGGATGTGATGTGCAATAATAATGTAAATCCATGGTTGAACTATTTAGCTCCGGCTATGCAGCCAATGCCAGCGCCTTTTTTGCAGTATCCGATGATGGTTGGTGTTCTTCCTGAAATGCTTACTTCTCAAAACAATGGGATTACTGATTTCCTTCAAATGAAGGAGAAAGATGCAGGGAATTAGATGTGGGATTTTCTGAAGCTTCTTGGTTTATTTCCTTTATGTGTTGTTTTTACTAGGATTTTATTGTTCTAACAAGATTTTTATATACTACATGGTACATATCATTTTGGCTAAAGCATTAATTTCGTCTCTTGGTGCGTGTGAGATGTGCAATATTTCATTTTAGATTTCATTTGTTTCCGTAAAATAACTTGCACGAAAAATATTTTTCATAATTTTCCATTGTTTAGAGCATTCAAGAAAATAAGTCAACGGAAAATACTTTACTGGTCAAAGAAAAATTAAATCATTTTTTAATGAAAACAATTTTACATTTTCGAGAGAGTAAAATATTTTCCTAATATTGACAAACTTTATAAATTCATATTTTTTTAATTTATTAATCATCATAGTCACTACCACGGTCACCATTTATCACCGACTACCACCACCGGTGGACACTACCACCGGCCACTGACAGCTTTCATAATTTATATTTTTTTTACATTCTTCTCATATTTAATAATAAAATTTTTAAATTATAAAATTTTTATTATTAATAATATTTTTTATGGTCTTGTGAGATAAAGACTTTAGTATCTTTAACTAATTTTCAATATTATAATCAAACAACGGAAAATAAATCATTTGAAAAATATTTTTCAAAGAAAATGTTTTTCATAAAAATATTTTTTAGCAAGTTATTTTTTTGCAAGTTATTTTATAGAAACAAACGGATCATTAGTGTAGAATTTATCATTTCGCATTTTCTAATCATAAAGCACAAAAAAAGCAATCCAACAAGAATACAGTTAAATTTAAAATTATGTTTATCCGAATTAAAATATATCAATAATAATAATCAACCCACAAATTTGCAAATTAAATACGATAATCAAATAAATTAAGATCAAAACTACTAAAACAAGATGATAACCAAATAAATTGGGTATTATTACCTCACTGATTGGATAATCAAATGCCAAATAAAATTCCCTTCTTGTTAGAATCCGACTTCCTATCATTTGACATTTGAGAATTCAAAGAATCTAAACTAACACCATATCCAACTCCACCTCCATACCCAAACCCGAGTCCAATTCCACAGCCCATTCCGACTCCAAATACAAGCTTAAAATGGTTCCACGGCCAGCCACCGTAACCGAATGCGCCAACCAAACCGAAACCCGCCCCAATGCCGCATCCTATTCCTATACCGCCTCCAGGACCTACCACTGCTTCCTCTACTTTACGGTAGTTGTCTTGGAGAAATTCCGTTACGGGAAATTGGTTTCCAGTTTTCTTCTTCTTCTTTTTGGTGTTCCAAATGAAGCTTGAGTCGTCTTTATTTGGGTAGAAGTAATTGGATTTGGATTTCATGGTTGCGAAATAAGCAGAAGATAAGATCGTTGTGTTTATATATTGCTTACATTATTTCACTATTTTCAACGAGTAAATGGTTAAAACCTTAATTTTGTATTTTCACCGTTTTGTTAAAAGTGCCTAACATTTTACATTCTTAGAAGGTCAGTTGCTAAATCTTACCAAGGCAAATGCTAAAGCCGCCAAGAAAATCCCATACGCCTCTTAATTATCCGTTGTATCCTTTTAGACCAAACCACTCACCCCCTACTTCAAGTCCAATTAAGCTCTTAAAATTATCAGCCGATACGAAAAACCTCAAATTTGGTGAAATCATCCATGCCCATTTGATCATTACTAATCAAACCACCCAAAACAATGCAATTGAGGTTAACTCCTTGATAAATTTTTATGCTAAATGCAATGAGGTTTCGATTGCTCGCAAACTGTTCGATAATATGCTTCAAAGAAATGTGGTCTCCTGGAGTGCGTTGATGACTGGGTATTTACGTAATGGGTTTTCTTTAGAAGTGATTAGGTTGTTGAAAGATATGATTTTGGATGATAATGTAAGTCCAAATGAGTATATTTTTGCTATTGCTTTGGCTTCTTGTTCTGATAGTGGAAGAGTCAAGGAAGGTCAACAATGCCATAGTTATGTATTGAAGTCTGGGTTAGTTTTTCATCAATATGTGAGGAATGCTCTTTTGCATATGTATTCGAAGTCCTACACTGTTAAAGAGACTATGCGGGTTTGGAATTTAGTGCCTGGAAATGATGTTTTTGGTTATAATTCTGTTTTGAGTGGATTCTTGGAAAATGGTTATCTGAAAGAAGGTTTAGATGTTCTGAGCTGGATGGTGAAAGAGAATGTGAAGTGGAATAGTGTTACTTATGTTAATGTTTTTGGGCTTTGTGCTTGTTTGAAAGATTTGAGATTGGGTTTGCAAGTTCATGGTAAAATGTTAGTAAGTGATGCTGAATGTGATGCATATGTCAGTAGCACGATAATTAATATGTATGGAAAATGTGGAGAAGCTGTAAATGCAAGAAAAGTTTTTGATGAGTTACAAAGTCTAAATGTAGTGCTGTGGACAACGATTATTGCTGCTTATTTCCAAAATAGGTGCTTTGAGGAAGCATTGAATTTATTTCCAAGAATGAAACTTGTTTCAACACCAAACGAGTTTACTTTTGCTGTGCTACTGAATGCTAGTGCAGGATTGTCTGCTTTAAGACATGGGCATCTGTTACATGCATGCGCAGAGAAGTCAGGTTTTAAGGATTATGTCATTGTGGGGAATGCTTTGATCAATATGTATGCAAAAGGTGGCAATATTCAAGCAGCAAACAAAGTATTTGCAGATATGATACATCGAGACACCATTACTTGGAACGCAATGATATGTGGTTATTCACATCATGGGCTAGGCAAGGAAGCACTTAAAGTGTTGGAAGAAATGTTAGATAGAGGGGAGCATCCTAACTATGTGACTTTCATTGGGGTTCTCTCTGCTTGCAGTCATCTAGGTCATGTACAGGAAGGTTTCTCCTATTTAAGTTTAATGAAAGAGAGTGGTGTTGAACCTGGATTGGAGCACTATACATGTATTATTGGCCTTCTCAGCAAGGCTGGAAGAATTGATGATGCTTATAATTTTATGAGGTCTACACCTATAAAATGGGATATCGTTGCCTGGCGTACTTTATTCAATGCTTGTAATGTTCATCGAAACTATGGTTTGGGAAAGCAGATTGCAGAATGGGTCTTAGAGATGGACCCTGATGATGTGGGAACATATACACTGTTATCTAATATGTATGCCAAGGCAAAGAGTTGGGAGGGAGTAGTCAAAATTCGGAAGTTGATGAAAGACAAACATATCAAGAAAGAACCTGGAGTAAGCTGGATAGAAGTAAGAAGTGTTACCCATATTTTTGTTTCAGAAGATATTAATCATCCAGAACACGTTAAGATTTATGAAAAGGTAAAGGAATTATTGGCTATGATTAAGCCTTTGGGATATGTTCCTGATGTTGACGCAGTACTGCATGATGTAGAGGATGAGCAGAAGGATCACTATCTTAGTTATCACAGTGAGAAGTTGGCCATAGCATATGGTCTTATGAAAACGCCTTCAGAAGCACCTATCGTTGTAATAAAGAATCTAAGGATATGTGATGATTGCCACTTGGCCGTGAAACTTATTTCAAAGGTGACAAATAGGAGGATCATTGTTAGAGATACCAATCGTTTCCATCATTTTCAAGATGGATATTGTTCTTGTGGAGATTATTGGTGATTATTAATGTATTATTCAGTTGTACGTATAAGCAGAAAATTGCATTATTGACAACACACAGATTGCTGAGACCAATACCATATTAACCTTCCTGCTACACAAAGATGTTGAGCCTGTTGGAGGTCCCACGCGGCATGATATTATGTAAGTTATTCAAAAAAAAATATTTCCGTTACTTGCATTTTCGTTTCTTTTTGCTTCAAGTTTTGTTGTCCTTTTCATTAGAAAGTGAACATGCTGGTGTTGCTTCTCCTTTCAGGTCATCAAGGTTTAGGCTTTCAGACAAAAAAAGAAAAAAAATAAAAAAAAAATGGAACTAGAGTTGTATTATCGGTCAGTAAACCATTTTCGTATTAACTTTTTATTTTTTGATTTATTCATCTGGAGTTACTGCTCACATTGAATATAACCTTAACTCCGTAAGCTGGGGCGGAATTAGAAATTAAAACTTAAATTTTTTAGAAAATCATTTTTTTATTTTTTTGAAATTTTGGGGGGCCAAGTAAACAAGGGGTCCGCCCCTGTTCGTAAAGGGAGAAAAAAAAAAAAAAAAAAAAACCGGTAAGGCTGAAGGCGGAATGGAAATTAAACTTAAATTTTTTAGAAAATCATATTTTTTATTTTTGGTTGAAATTTTTGGGGGGCCAAGTTAAACAAGGGGTCCGCCCCCTGTTCGTAAAGGGAAAAAAAAAAAAAAAAAAAAAAAGAAAAAAAAAAAAAAAAAAAAAAAGACTAAGAGAGTGGAAAAGAGTTGCAGATATATAATCCGATATGTATTCAAGAAAAGCTGTTCTCCATGAATTTTACAAATTCACTGAAGTCTATCTTTCCATCTCCGTTTTGATCATAAGCTCTGATCATATTTCTGCAGTTCTCCAGTTCAAATCCTTCCTTTAATCCAAATCTGCAGAGCACTATCTGCAACTCCTTCGCATCGATAAATCCATCTGTATTCTCGTCAAAAACATTAAAAGCCTCCTTTACTTCCTCTAAGCTTGGCTCCTCATTAAATAGCCCTGAAAGCTCATTAAAACCAATAAACTCATTGAGCTTCTCGCCTTCTGGGCTGCAAAAAAGTCCTAACTTTCCCATCACCATCTCCACTTCTTCTCTGCAAAGGCTTTTATCATCCCTTTTAACGCCACAGTGATGCTGTTGGTTGGATGACTCAGACTCTTGGTTCTTATTCTCTTCCCACCTCCTTGAGTTACCAAAACTAAGTTGGGATCGGAGAGAGAACCAAAATCTAGAGAAAAATTTTTGTATGTGACTGACCTTATCTTCACAGAATAAAATGTCAATAGATGTCAATAACAACTCGTTGTATGATGATTTTTGCAGATTTTGAGCCATGGCCGACTCCATATTTGCAAGAAATGATAATGGAAGGCTTAACTTTCTTCCAACTTAAAAGTAAAGGAAATGCTTTCAGCTCAAGAAAGCAGTCAAAGAGGAAAGATGCTTCAGAGGAATTTATCAAGGAATGGAATGGATGAGTAGTTTATATATAGTTTATACAGCAGGGGGTTTAGGAAGTATTTATTGCCTTAATGTCGGGCGGCAAACAGAAAATCTAATATTGGGAGAAGGTGCAAGAAAAGAAAGGCAGAGAAACGGTCACCTGTCTATTTGTGCAAATGAAAGGAAGTTTCTCTGAATTTTGGTTGAAGTCTATTTAAAAAGAAAAAAAAAAAAAAAGGGTTAGGCGGGGATTTTTCATTTTTGGCTTATCTACCTGGAAATAGTAGACAATTACCAAGAATATGTCTATGCCCTTCTCAGTGGATTTCTCAGTTGACTGAAATCTGTACACTTATATTTAAATTGGAATTTCTTGGAAAGCAGAAAAATAGTGGACTATTCACTCTTTTTCATTTTCATTAGCACTGATTTTGTATCATCAGTTTCATTTCCATGCAGTGGTCTACCCGATTAATAATTTCATTTGGACTTTGGAGGTAATTACACGTTAAAAAGGAGTCGGTCAACCAGTGGAAACTTGTGGGAAACGTTTCTTTTGTAAATTCCTGGAAAAATGGCTTGGAATTTATTTAGGGCGTGAGACAATGACGTCCGGAAACGAATGACTTATTTACACTCAATGTATAAGTTTATATATACGGAAACACCAATTAAAAAACAGTTTTTTAGTTTAAATGAAAGTATTTTTAACCATTCATTGAACAAAAATAAAACCATAACAATTATTTAAAAAATCTTTCTTTGATTGCTTGGTGTATGATTGGTTTCATACATCAGAGTGTAGATAAGTCTTTTTATGCATTGATTCATAAATGTCATATTTTGATGGTGAAGGGAATTAAAGGGAAAACGGTAGATACTCCCGAGGAGTAAGATGGGATGAATTGAATCTCTTCTTTTTTAACCAGAGATTTTAATTTGAGCGCTGAGTATGAAGTCTTTTAAACCCTTGGGAGGGAGCGCTTTGCCCCCTTGTGAATATGAAAATAGGGAACAACAGATCTAAAACAATACAGAGGAAAGTTTTTCACAAAAAGCTTACTTTTTCTTGATATTAATGTAGATTTAACTGTGAAAATAACGTGCGAATTAATACATAGTTGTTAATGTTTGAAAACCCTATATTTTTTTTTGCAAGAATTCAATTAGCTAAATTCTCATGTTAGACACTATTATTTTGAGAATGTATTTTTTTAAGCTAAAAGAATAAATTAATTTGAAAGAAATGAAAATCATGTGACAAGTTGCGTGGACAGGAAAAAAAAAAAAAGAAAAATTATCTTAATTTTTAATTATTTAACACATTGAACAATTCTATCAATTTTAAATTTATTCAAACACAAGACTTTTAATATATGATTATTTTAAATTGAATTTTTTTTGTGTAAGAAATATATAAAGGGTTTGTAATTTGTACTTTCTCTAAATCTTTTCCCACAAGCAGATTTAAATACAGATTGGGGACCATAAACTCTTCAACAAGACATCTGAGAATGACAGATTCCATGAAGATTCTGTTCTTTGTGTTCATTTCACATTGTTTTTTAGTCTCAGAAAGGTATAGATGAAGTAAAATTCATAAGAATAGATGTGAACTGCAAATTTTCTTTTGTAGTCATTTTCATTTTTTAATGCCATGTAACTCGCAAAAACACCAATTTCCATTCACAATAAAACGTGTTTCCATTTAGTAAAGAAATTATAATTTTTTTTTTTATTTTAGTGTTTCAACTTTATTTTTATTTATTAAATATAATTTTTTTTTACTAATTATAGTAAATCAGTACATGGACTTGACCCATCCTGCTTACTAATTCACTAGGCTTGAACATATATATATATATTACATAGTCAAGGATTATATTATTTTTAATAATAATTTGTATCAATATCAAGCTTTTATTTATTTATTGTTTCTCCTATTATTGTTTAAAACTTTTTTGTTGCAGCCAAGGTTATCTACGTCCTTATTATTAATAGTCTTTTTACAACGTGCGTTGCATATTGATTATACTTGTAATTCATACTCGTTCAATTTTTTACTTATTATTTATATTTATATTTATTTTTTAATATTAAATATTGATTATAATTTTTGTCTTATATTATTTAGATTTTTATACCATTAAAATAAACTTTTATATAAGATTAATGCGAATATAACGATTAATTAATAAAAGCAGTGTATATATACACACGTTTCAACTTAATTTATATTGTCATTTATCTAAAATTCATTATAACTACAATATGTTTCAATATATATCAATACATAGATATTATAATAAAATATTATATATATTTTTAAAATTAAAATTTTCAACTGCCCATCATCCTGCCTACATATATTTTCATTTTATTTAAAAATAAATTTTCAAAGTAAAAATTTAAAAATTTTGAAAAGTTTAATTATATATATTCTATTTGAAAAATTGTTATAAAAAAATATATTTTTTATCTCTCATAAATAAAAATTTTAAATTATAACAAAAATAGAATCAAATATTTAAAAAATAAATTTAAAAAATAAAATATAAAAATTTTCAAAAGTCTCCTTATCATATATATAAAATTTTCAAAAAGTCCTCCTTATCATTATTATCTATTAAAAAATAATATGTTCATACTAGGTTTCTTTTAAAGAAATATTTCACTTTCTTTTAAAAGAAAATATCACGTATTATATTAAATATCCAATCACATTACATCTTTGAGAAAATAAATTTATTTTGGTATTAAAAATTCTTAAATTATTTTCACGATTTTTCCTTGTATATTTAAAATATTTACATTGTTTTATATTATAATTTAGTTTGCAAAAATGTTGAACGAAAAAGTTAGGGATACACTTCGGTATTGCAATAAAATAAATAATTACATGTATAGTAGAAATTAAAGTTTAAATAAATACTCATGGATACCATTAAAAATAAAAATAATTGTTGATTTATTTAGTAATTAATTCATTATGAAATTCAGAAATAATCGAATGTAAACTTTTCAAATCAATTAATAAAAATTATTAAAAAAACTCAATTGATTAATAATTTAATATCATAATTTATCAATTATTAAAAACTCAAATTATTTAATAAACTCAAATTATTATCAAATTTTAATAACTCCAAATTTTTATCAAATTATCAAAAAGGATGTTTTAGGATTTCTAAACTTTTCTAAGGTTATTATAGCGTTAATCTCTTCTTTCCAACTTTTTTATCTATTTTATTATTATATATTTTATTCAATATTATAATTTTATTATTTAATTATATATTGATTATAATTATTTATATATTTTATGTACAAAATTAAAAAAAAGAAGACATTGATTTCAGTTTAAAACTTATTAACTATTATTATTATTATTATTATTATTATTATTATTTATGCTACAAAATTAAAAAATAATTAAAATTAAAAATACTTAAAAGAAGACATTGATTTCAGTTTAAAACTAAAACCCGCTGTTTCGAAACTAAAAAAAAAGCAGTTTGAATCTAATTCCATCATTCCATCGTTCTCAATCTTTTGCGTCAATTTTCTACATGAATTTTATAACTTTTGTTCAATTTTCCCACCAACTCATACTTAAACAGTGCAAAGACTCTGATATTAACTTTGCGACTCGCGTGAATAATAAGTTTAGAGGACAAACGTTCAATATTATTATTTTTTCTTTTTTCTGAATTACAAGTTCATCCAGCAAATCGGACTTTATTCTTAGGAAAAAAAAAATTATCAATGGCGCTAAACATTCTAACTTAACCTATATAACTCCTAACTAGTAAAATTAGATTGACTAAATATATATTTAAATAGTTAAAAAACGTTTTAGTATTCCAAAAGTTATATCAATTACATATTAATTTAATATTTTAAATATAAAAATTAAAAACTCTTAAAATTTATTATTATTAATATGAAAAATATATATAATATTCTCAAACTTCTTAATTTAAAAAGTATAATTTTAAAAGTATGATAGGTCATCCGTATAGTTTAAAGTACTATACTTTTTTTTTTTTGGGAAAAATATAGGAGCTAATATATATATATATATAATTGCTTGTTGTAATGAATACGAAATAATTTCTATACCAAACATGGTAAGCTCATAATACAGAACCGTAAGAAAACTCGGGCTTATCCCATTGTGCGTCATGGAATGGGACCATATATATATTTCTGAAGAAAAAAAATATTTATGAAGCTAAATTGGTACTCAATTTTTTGAATATTTTTCTTTTTCTTTTTTTACAAATTTTTGAGTTTTTTTCTTTTATTTACTATGGTTTTTTCTTTGTTTTTACAACTTAATTGGACACAAAAATATTTTTTAATTTAAAAATTAATATTGTTATGATGATAACCAATATTTTTTAAATTTAATGTTGTGTCTCTAAAAACTATGTATCTATATACTCTCTTTTGGTTAAATCTCAATCATCTTTTATCTATTATTGGTTTAAGTTAATAAATAAATGAGGAACGAAATTTAAATTAATTTCTCATTTGAGCATAATATTCAGATATACAATCTAGAATGGAGTAAGAACGTGAATGAATTGGTCAGCTCTCATGGTTACTCCCAGAATCAAATTATGGTGTGGAAATATATGCTATTAACAAAGGTATCATGTATTGAAACTGTCAAAGATAAAAACTTTCTTATAATTGAATGCATGGGACTAAATCTGTATTTTTTTCCTTGGAATATGTACAGGTTGCAATCCTATTTGGCCATAATTTGTATAGCATGTGAGTACTATGTCTTGCCATGTCCCTTGATGGTTAGGTATGCAATGTTGCCTCTTTGACATAAACTATATTTTTCCGGTGTTTATTTAAATTGCTTTAGAAAAATCATGACATTTCTATCTTTCCTACACCTTGCTAACTCTAAATATTGCAGTTGCAGTTTACAAAAGCATCAAAAATAAAAGCCAAACTTATCAATCTTACAAGTAACACTTTTGTGTTCACAGACAAACTTATTAAGTAATGAACTTAATTATGAATTGCAGATATAGTGTCTTGTTGTGAGGGTGCCCATTCAGTGAGACCCACATTTAAAAAAAAAAAAAAAAAAAAAAAAAACGAGGAAAGAGAAGAGAAAACGTGGGTGGGGTTCCTCCCAAAAAAAAAAAAAAAAAAAAGAGGAAGAGAAGAAGAAAACGTGGTGGGTTCCTCCGACATATAGGACTCACGCAACTTGAAAATAAAAGAAGTGAAGACAATTTTTTTTTTTCGGTGGACGCATGATTAACGCGTCCACCTCTCCTATAAATAGTAAATGATTCAGTTCATTTCGACACACCAACAAGAAGAATAAACACAGAAGAGAAAGAAAAATATGTGTTTGAGAGGAAGTGAGTTATCTAGTTTTAGG